GTGGCCTGCATCTTTGCCTTTGTGGTGAAGAGGTGGCACAGGGACAGTGGGTAGTAGAGTGTGGGCTGCAGGATTTGCCTCTTGATACTGGCCTAGATGCCAAGCAGAAATCCTAGTCCTGAATGCTTGCTCTGCAGCAACTGTTGCTCTTGATACCCCCAGGGAAATGCTGCAGCCTTTCTCTGGCATAAGGGTATAAGAGGCACAGGTGAGCCATGTGCTTAGCATCCTCCGAGACTCATCTTGTGCAAGCTTTGGTCATCAAGATCAAAGATTAGGCTAGATGGAGGTATCGTCTTGGGAAGGTCAGTTCCATTAGTTTTATAAAAACCTTGGGATCAGAATTCATGTAATTGCATGAACAAAATTGCTTTGAGTTCTGTTTGCAAAGACTGAAGCTTCAAGGACTGCCAGGGTTTGAAAAACAGGCTAAGGGTCTCCAGGTGAGATATCAGCAAAGCATCAAAGAGGAGGAGGGTGGGATGCCTGAGTGCTGCCCAGAAGAGAGAGTACACATCTGTCATCTGGGGAGCAGAAGCATTGTTGGGTGACTGCTGGAAAGTGTAAGAGGGGTGTGACTTGGAGAAGGGGGAAAGAGGGGAATGTACCTCAAGTACTGTGAATGAGGCAGCTTCTTGGCTGCTCAGTACCACAGCAGGAGGGTGACAGAGCTGTGTGCTGTGAGCTGCAGGTGTCATAAACCAGTCCCTCCTAACCTCGTGTTTCTGAGGGTCATGCAGTAGAAACTCTACAGGGAGCAGATCTTGGGCTCTGAATGTCTCAGTCACTGTTCCCCGTTAAGCTCTGAACACGTGGTTTGCGACCCTCTGCCTCTTTTTGCACAACTGATTCTGAGCATCTGTGAAATGGAGATGGTTCCTGCTGTGGGCATGTAGCACGTCACTGCAACATCAGGAGTTGTACGTTAGCTGTGTGGGGGAAGCTAAAACTCGCAGAAGTCTTTGGTTACCTGAGCAGGCCCTGCAGGCATCTGGAGTGGCAGTTGCCACAACAGCAGGGCTGCTTGAAAATAGATGGTCAGTCCTCAACAGAATTAACTAATCTTGGAGCTGCTTATTGCTAGTTAGTAGACTCATAATAGCCTTGGATTCATAGGCAGGGGGTTTTTTTCTCCCCTATTTTTTTTTTCCCTCCTCTTTTCTCTCCATAAAGGAAACTTGACTACTCTTGGACTAGTAAAACATCTGATATAGAAGAGCCTTGAGATGTCAAAAAATATATGCTTAGTGCTTTCACCTGTAGGTTAAGGAGAGAGAAGCAAGTATCAGTGTTGACAGCAAAGAGGAGGCAATTTGTAACCCTGTGCATGTAAAGACAGTAGCTCTTGCTCAGAGACATTCCACCCACCCTGGGTGAGGAGCAGCAGGAGCTCAAACTGGGACGTGGAGCAGCAGCAGGAGGCCCTTGCTGAGTAGGGCTTTGACTGGATCCAGCTTGCAAAATTTTTCAGCTGCATTATTGCACCTGCAGTCATGGTTTTAATTGGCTTTCATTTCACAGGAGATGACACTGCTACATCTTTTGGCTAGATTCAGCAATGGCCATTAAGACTAAGCAGGAGGGGGTCAGGGTAAAAATGTGTGTGAATGGAGTGCTAATGAGTCACCACATGAGAAGTTTAACTGTTGGGCTTGTGCAGGAAGCTTTTACGTAGGCAGCTTTGTTTCATAAAAGAAGGGAGAGTTATACTCTACAGAGTTGCCTTGGGCAGTTACAGAGCTGCCAAGCTTTCACACCTGGAGTACTGTGTCCAGTTCTGGTCTCCTCAGTACAAGAAGTGAATGGACTTACTGGAGTGAGTGCAGTGCAGGGCCATAGGGAAGATTAAGGGATAGGAGCATGTTTCATATGAGAAGAGGCTGAGAGAGCTGGGACTGTTCAGCCTGGAGCAGAGAAGGCTCAGGGGGATCTCATCAATGTATATGAATACCTGGTGGGAGCGAATGAAGAAGAGGCACCAGGTTCTTATCAGTGATGCCCAGTGACAGGACAAGAGGTGATGGGCACACACTGAAACACAAGAAATTCCATCTGAACACAGGAAAATACTTTCCCAACCCCCACCCCGACTGTGTGAGGGCAGTCAAAGACTGGAACAGTTTACCTGAGAGGTTCTGGAATCTCTGTCTGTGGAGATATCTAGAAACTGACTGAGCCTTGAGCAACCAGTTTCAGCTGACCCTGCTTGAGCAGGCTGCTTGGACTAGGTGATCTGAAGAGGTTGCTTCCAACCACAACAATTTTGTGACTCTGAAAACAAATGTATTTCTGGGCTTTCCAGAATGGGAGATGAAGAAATACATAACACAATGGACATAAGAGCTACTTTCTATAGGAAAGGCAATTGGACGAATTCAGATGCATCATGAGGAGAACACTGTTTGGCAGACAAGTTGTAGCTTGTCTCCTTTCTGCTGAAGTACTTTTTTTCTATCCTGCTGGTCCTACTTGAGTTCTTCCACACTGCTATATAAAATGAGATTCAACATGGTATGAATTTCACCAACATGAAGCAGGCTATCTTCAGAAAGAGTCCTGGAGGGGTTTTAAGGTGACAGTGGTGGAAGAAGCCAAATCTGCAGACACAGAAATGAATCTTCCATTATCTAGTAGTGAATTCCTTTGTCAGCAAAGATTTGAAAGGATTTGGGCTTTTATATACTACTTAGAAAAAATCATCTGTGGGGAAGGAGCAGAGGTGCCAAGAAATGAATGAACTGGGGGTGTCAGGTGGACCTAGGAAATGTAATAGGCCTGTAAACTGGGGGTGGAGGATTTAATCTCCTTGGGGAGATGAATCAATACTTGGCTCTCTGAAGATCTCACTTGGAGTCACTGTCACTTAATGGATTAGTTGAAATAAATGTGGCAAGCCAGATGATCATCAGAACCTAGAGAGCTTATCAAATTTGGTGGGTAGGAATTCAAGCAGTGCTGGAATAGAAAGTATTGTTTGCTGCCTCCCTTCCAGAGCAAGTCCAGTTCCTTACCTGTAACCAAGATGGGTCTTGGTCCTGCTTTCGCTCTGCTCATCCTCACCTTTCTGGGGCTCCCTAGCAAGTCGAGGTGGAATATAGATGCACATGTGAGCTTTGAGGAGTGTGGGTTCTCCTAGGCTACCATGCACTGCAACTGCCCTGGTGACTCAGATTATTTGTCCCACGTAATAGCTGCAACATTCAGTTTCCTGAAGCATCTTGTAGTGCTGTTTTAGAAGGTGATGATACAGCTTAAATGACACTTAAAAAACACCCAACAAAACCCAAACTTTTTAAAACTTGTTGAATATCTTCTCCCCTCCTCTTCAGTATAACAGGTCAGTTATCTCGATTCAAATCACTTTAAAAAGCATAAAGTGGGAGGGAGAACGCTTTAGTTTGAGTAATTTTTTGAAAAAAGGACATGATGATCCTGACCTCAGGACTTTGTGCTTCCAAGTAGCCATAACACCTTCCATAGTGTTGTTGCTTGCAGGCCTTGACCTCTAGGAGAGGATATTACGTGTCGTGCTAGACTAAGGCAGTTTCACAGTTGAAGCCCTATTACAGTGCGTGGTGGTTGAGCTAGAGCAGCCTGAAGGGAAGCCATCAGCTCAGCTGGTGTGACATGTAGGATACAGTAGGATTACAAAGAGTGAGGATGGGATGCTTATATCCTGTTAGGCATTGTAAGTTACTATGTCCTGTAAGGGCAGGAATTGCTATTTGAAATTGGACTCTTAGAGTTCCCAAGAGAAACAGGCTCCAAGACTTGCCTGTCCTCTTTGGGTTTAAGGAACCATCTCATCCGGCAGTGAGCTATGCCACACAAGCACTTGCTGCTCCCAGGTCCTGGGCTGCATTGGCAAGATATGATGTAAAGGTGAAGGCCAAGATGGAGGCATAGAACAGTTACCAAGTTTTGTCCTCTACTGGGATTTGCAGCACATGAAGTGGAGTCCGAGTATAAATCATTCAGCTGCTGCTCTGCTCCCCTTTTCCAGTCTAGTTTAGCAGGGAGGGAGGTCAAGTTAATAGTGCTGCAGCTGCTCCAGCCCCTACTGCTATGTACTCCTGGCTCCTGAAGGAGGGCTGTTTTCTCATCTTTCTGTTTGGATATGAGCTGTATGAAAGAGGTAGGTGGTGGTCATTCTTGTTTGCCCGTGTGATAGTTTGCTCATTTGTGAGGCAGGGCTGGTGAACCTGGTGTCCTCAGTCTAAGCACAAGCTGCCATCTCAGGTAGCTGCCCTTCTTCTACCTCGTTGACACTCCATGTTTTTTCAGGAGGTGACACCCCTTCTATATTTACTCTTCTTGGAAAGTATAAAGCTGAGATATCTATGAAAAGTCTTTCACTGATCCAGTAAGTCTGTTCTAACTTTTCAAGATATGGTGGGCTTGAAATGTATATGTCTCCTCTACCTAGTTATGCTTTCATCAATTAAAGGCCTCTAATTGAGATGTACTGTGTCTTGTGAGGAGTTATACACTCTCATACCCTGTTTTCTTGAGCAATGCATGCAGCTCTGGAGATGGAGCTGAAGAGATGTTCTTTTCAAATGGAAGTGGTGCCATTTCCATTTCATTCAGACAAACTGCTTGCTTGCTTCTCAAAGCAAATAGTAAACTGAGGGCTGTCCATGTTTTGTGTATGTTTGCTTAATTTTATAATAGAAGTTGTTCAGGTTGCTCCCAATTGGGTAAGTGGAAGTTACTGAACTCTGTTCCTCTTAATCTGCTGCATTGTCTTGTCTGACAGTCACCTCTGACCTTGGGACAGGGCTGTGATTTTGGATTAGAGCAGCAGCAAGAACAGTCCTGTAAATGACCTCTGGATCTGAATAACCAGTCCAGTGGCAAACACTGCTGATCTCCCTGTGGATATCACCAGCATCTAGGTCAGACTGAGGAGCGGGACAGAATTCTCCCACCTGGGTTTGGAGTTGCCTTGTTCTTTGCCTTTGGCTAACGCCTATCTGTACTCTCTCATCCCACAGGTAGATGCAGTGCGAGTGTACGTGAACAGCAGCTCTGAGAACCTCCAATATCCCGTCCTGTTTGTAGTTCGCCAACAGAAGGGAGTGCTGTCGTGGCAGGTCCCACTAATTTTTCGAGGCCTGTAAGTACTGGAGTCTCTTCCTTGTAACTTGCTGGCCTGCCAGCTGTATCCAGCATCAGCATTCCTCAAGTGCTAGATCTTGCTGCTTGTGTAGACTGCAGGGCTTGGTTGGGAAGCATGCTTGCTCATTGTCAGCTGAACATAGGAAGAGCAGGATTTGGTAGGTAACATTCTATTTGGCAGCCTGCTCTTGTCTCTTAGTTTCTCAAATATGCACGTGGAGTACCAGGAGGCTTGTTTGTTGGGGATCTGAGTGTGTCACTAGTCAGTGAATCTACCGAATCATAGAATGTTGTGAGTTGGAATTGTTGTCATTTCCATAGTTGCTTACAATGTGTGCAAGTAGTTCTTGGCCTCTAGTTTGGAGCAGGAGTTGAACAACCTCTCGAAAAAGCACCCTAACTGCTATATTACAGTTTATTTAGGGGGAATAAGGGCTCTCCTCTGTTTCTCATCCCAGGTACATCTAAGTTGAGTCTATTCTGGAGAGTGTTGGTTGTTTTGAGGGTGTTCTCTTTGTGAAAGTGATGCTGCTGTGTATCTTCAGCCACCTCAGAGCTAGTTAGGCTGCAAGTACTGAGACTTTGCAGGTACCTTAGACCATCTGAGATGTGAAATTTCATTCTGTGACTGAAATCCTGGCACCAGGCAGCAGATACCCTGCTGTATCCAAATAGCAAATGTGCTAAATCTGCGGATGGCACAGGCAGCCTCGAGGGAGTTGAAATGCTGGGGATGGCCAGTCCCTTGTGCAGACCACAAGAGGACACAGAGGTGGAGTTTGAGCTCTGAATAAAAGTCTGAATGGTCTTGGCCTTTCAGATTAGTATTTCAGTTATGCAAACAAGGGAAAAATTATGTTATTCTTAGAACTGCTGAACAACTTTTTAACTATTATCTCTCTCTTCCTTCCAACTTTCCCTTCCCTCCCTCCCTTGGCTGCTGTAGCTATCAGAGGACCTACAATTACCAAGAAGTGAGTCGGACCCTCTGTCCCTCTGAGCCAACACATGAGACAGGACCTTCTGACCAGATTATATTTGTGGACGTCGCTTCCATGGCACCATTTAATATTGCATATGAGCTGCTAGTCACCAGGCTCAAGAGCTTCCAACTTGAGTAAGCTGGGATATGAGAATACAAATGTAATTTATTCATATATCTGTTCTACAGGAATTTGGTCCATCTGCCTACTCTTCCCTTCTCCAAAAAAAAAAAAAAAAAAGTTTTTTTTTTTTTTTTTTTTTGTTTTTTTTTTTTTCTTAATCTGAAGGTACTCTGTGTGTATTCCAACTCTGAAAGTTTTAGAATTCAACATGCTGATATTTCTTTTCTAGGACCAACAAAGCCTTTAACTTCACTGCCAGCCCTTCCCAGCCCCAGGTAAGGAGGAGTCCTGTGTGGCATTGCTTGTGTGTCTTACCATATCCAAATGGTTGCTGTGATCCTTTGTTAGAGATGGCAAAAGCCTTATATGACTAGGCCATTTCCCTCTTAGGATGCAGGGAATAAGTAAATAAGCTGTAAAGGTACAACAGAACTCAGATTGCTCAGGGCAGCAAGTCAGGTTGCGGGGTGATAAATGAAATGCCTGGTAAGTCTGGTTATTAGTTCAGAAGAGAGCACACATTTTGAGCACATCCAGCTGAGCAGACTTGTTTAGAGCCCTGCAGATACTGCAAGTCCTCTCTTGAATGAAAACACTATTGGCAGTAACTATAGTGATACAGGAGCTTGTAGAGCTGGGAAAGTATGTAATTTACCCAGGCTGTCTGATACTCCATCTTTGTTGTTGCTATCACTGTGAGTAACACCACTTAATTTTAGGTTTCCTATTACCAGGCATCCCAGTTAATCTTTTTTGCTGTTAAATGTCTTAAGTGGGCTTGCAGATACATAGAAGCATACTGTACTATATATATATATACTATAGAAGCATGGGGAACGGTGGTGGCTCTTTATAAACCCTCATTACTTAGGGTCCTGTAAGTTGAATGTAGAGTGTTTAGGATCTGACCTGGAATTAACTTTGTGACTTTGGTCTGTTATCTGTCAAAATTAGTAATATGAGATTGATGACTTTTAATTATAGGCCAGATGTAGAGTGTACAAGATGAGTGATTCTTGATTGGCAAAATGTTGAGCTTTTTGTAAATCAAAGTAGTAAGTAGTCTGGGGGGCGGGAATGTGTGGAACGGCAATTCAAAATCCAGATGAGTGTTGGAATAGCCCTAAGACTGGAAAAAGACAAGTGTAACAACTGAAGGAGTTGTTGTCCAGAACCCAGCTCATGCCTGAAGGCAGAAGGAGAAATTAGATATGCTTGTATAGGTCAGGAGCGTTGCCTGGATGTGTTTATACCTCTCACAATCTGTGCAGCAGAGAACTGTAGGTCTCAATGCCCCTTACGTTAATTCTGTCCTCTGGTATAAGTGCAGCTTAAAAATAAAATTACAGAAAGGTCCTCATGGGTGACTCCCTCAAGGGCCTAAAGCTTTTCAAAGGTAGTGTCCGTGGGAAACCAAGGAGCTCAGACCTCCAGTGTCCTTGCTTGGCAGAGATAAAATGTGCTCCGCTGAAGAAACCAGCTTGGTGAGTTTTCAGTTTGCAGTTGGAGCCAGCACGCCCTCAGCGCTGAGGGGACCCTGCTTGGAGAAGGGCAATGGGAATAAATGCTCTAGTAGAAATGGGCAAATTTGGAAAAAGCCTGGATGATTTGTTACTAATCCTTGCCCTTCCAGTTGAAGGCTCTACTTCCTGGGAAGGAGATGAGGGAAGGGAAGTTGGAAACAGCTGGCCCTTGCTCAACACTAAGGTTTATGTGACATAAAGGGAGCTTGCCTGTTGGGAATGTCTCAGGTTATAGTTTTGGTGCAAGAGCTTCAGTGGTTTCCCTCCCCATGGGTTAGGCCTGCCCCAGGGCAGCACAGCACTGCCAGGTGACCATAAGGAAGGGGGCTGGTGGCAGTCCTCAGCCTTGTGTCCCCTCTGAGGTGAGGTCCCCATCAGCTCCTCATGGTAGCTCTGACTGTGAGCTTGAGCTCTCAGGGTCTGGGGTCCAAGTGGGATGATGGGAGCCCTTGCAACAAGCCTACCTGCTAGGGCAGGCACTGAAACCCTACTTCTCCAGTAGCTGCTGGTGTAGTACATCATACTGTTACTGCAAAAATATGCAAATAATGATGTTGTCTGGGACATATTTTGCCCAAATCTGAAAAGGTCCTTGCTGGGACAGGGAAGGGCATCTCCTGACCCTACAAACTGTCCTGTGGGCCTGCTCAAAGCATGGAAGCACAAGAAACACCATTCCTTGCCCCCAGAGGAAAAGTAGGAATGTTAGCAGATGTTAGTCTCTCCCAATTTTTTTCAGAGCTATAGCTGAATTATTTTCAAAGCTGAAGTGAGAAGAGAAACATACACCCTCAAAAACAAACAAATCCAAAAAACCCAAATTGTACAACTAATATCAGGCTTTTATTTATGAAACTCCTGACAGTTCAATCATTTAACCTAATACTTTCTACAGTCTTTCTTTGAGGTGAATCATCTGAGATAAAATCTATGGTATGTTCCATACATAAAATACAGCCAGCAGTATGGAAACATCTGGAAATTGCTCGTAGCAACATAAAATGGAATAGGCTGGAAAATGAAGTCACTTTAGCTTGATCAGGTGGAAAAAAGCTTAGGGGGAGCAGAAGCTATGCTGTATCTTGCATGTTAAAGATATCTGTGTCTAACAATGTACTGTGCAAGAAAATGAGTTGTCTGTATGTATTTAATCTGCTCTTCTGTAGTGTGAGGTCCTAATATTTGAAATCTGAATGTTTGTGAAAGCCCTCCACATCCAACCCCACAGCTCAGCTTGGGCTGTGCAGTTACCTTAGGGAGGTTGTGAAGCTACTGGCAGGGATGATTTCTAGGCTATAACTCTCAGTACTGTGCTTTCTCCTCAGTATTTTTTGTACAAGTTTCCTCAGGATGTCGATTCAGTCATAATTAAAGTGGTGTCTGATGCAGTCTACCCATGCTCGGTTGTCTCCGTCCAGGATATTGTGGTAAGTCTGAGCAGAGAAAGGTAAGGAGCTGCCTTCTAGAGCTCTGTGTCCTCCTATGAGGGGTTCTGTGCCCCAACAAATACAAAAAATCCTAGGAAGGGCTTCACTCTAGTATTGTGGTGGTGATGGGGGCCCCTGAAAGAGGAATGAAAATCCTGTAGGAAGGAGGCAAAAACAAAGGTGGCAAGTTGAAGCAGCTCGTACAGAGATTTTTGTTGCAAATAAGTGAGCAAGCTGTTCCTCTCCAGCCTGTCCACAGGGCATTTGTTATCACGTTCGCCTTGTGAGGTTTAACACTCTGCTGCCTTGCGACATGGGTCTGTCTTTCTGTGGAGTGGTGTTGGGTGGGATGATGGTGGCTGATGGAGGAGACAGCGCTATTTCCTTGACTCTTCCCTGGCTCAAGGCAGCATGGGGAACTTCTGATTTCCAGACATGAGGTCTCTCCTTATTTCCAATTTTATTTCTTCTCTCCACGCTTATTCATCCCCTTTCCTGGGAAGGGGAGAGCAGCTGTTCCCTGCCACGGAGTTTTGCTGTAGCTCATAGCTGGGAAATGGCCCCATATTTCTCCTCCTTTCTCACCTCCCTGAATGATGCAGGGACCTGCAGTGTGGGAGCAGCGAGATGGTGACAGAGGTGCAAGATGCCTTGGCTGCTGGTTCTGAAGTCCTAGCAGGTGCCTTTAATGTCTGGGGTGAGGAGAGAAATGCGTAACATCAACTCCTGCCCACATCCCTGTGTTTGAATAGTAGAAGGGCAGGAGGGGAGACTGACAGGTGATTTTTCAACCTGTTAGGTACTAAGTGGGGAAAAAGTAAAATGAGGGCAAGCAGTTAGCATATAGTACAGACCACAGAGTCTGTGTCACAGATGGTGTACAGCTGAGTCTATGTTCTGCCCTGTGGGAACGGTGGAGTGATCAATCTGGCTGGATCATCTTCTGGGATTAAACTGCATCCCCCTTGTGAGAATGCTGAGATCAGTGAGTGCAGGCCACAACCCCTGTATTCAGAGCAGCTTTTTGAACTTCTGAATAGGTCCTGGTTGTTTTGTTCCCTTTGTCACCCCAAGCAGGGCCTTTTTTTGCTGCTCTGCACTCTCAGTTTTCCTGCTGGCTCCCTACAAAATTAGTTTAAATTTTTGTACCTGGTTTAACCCTTAGTTGTGTCTGTTTTAGTGCCCAGTGTATGACCTGGATCATAATGTGGAGTTCAACGGTGTTTACCAGTCTATGACAAAGCAGGCAGCTATCACTGTGCAGGTGAGATGTTGGAGTTTTGGGGGGTTTTTGGGGCCTGATTTATTTTTTTTTATGTTTATTTTTATTTTTTTGTCTTAGTGTTGGGTATGGTTTTTTTCGGTGACTTATTTTGTGCAACTCTATTGTTATTTTATTGATTCTGGTATGGCTGTGATCCTTTGTTTTTATTAGATCAGCTGATATCTAATCTTCTAAGTGGGAGAAGTAATGTTACCTTCCTTTACTACAAAACCTTGCTTATGTTTGCTTAGGCACTATGTCTAAGCTGCTGAGGCTGTAGATCAGAGTGGCCGCAGCCCAGTGTCTTCTGTTCAGACCTTGTCTCTTCTACCACTGAGTAGTGACAATAGGGCCTTATAATGAGCAAAGCTTAGGTAGATGGTTTGCACTAATTGAAACAAATAAATAAATGCATTGGTATTGGTTTGCTTGTGCTGAGGCACTGCAGTACTTCATGCTGATGAACTCAGTCAGTGTATTGTCAGCAAGGATGAGCAGAGCATCCCCAGAAGCCAAGCTCTGTCCAGAACAGGCATGTCTCTGTAAGGCTGGTGCCTGTGTAACAACTAAAACCTGCTCTCTCTCCCTGTGGAGATCATCACCTCTGCTTTGCATTGGAGGAAGAAGCTGCTTCACTTCTCATGGATTCTATCTTTTTCTATCCTCTCATGCAGAGAAAAGACTTCCCAGGTGAGCAGTTCTTTGTTGTGTTCGTCATCAAGCCAGAGGATTACGCCTGTGGGGGTTCTGTGCCTTCTTCTATTCATGGTAAGTTGGGTTGGGAGGTGGGTTTGGTTGCTGCATCTGAGTGATGTGGCAGTGGGATTCCTTTGGTACCTTCCCATGGGATGATACGGGATGGTCGTATAGCACTGCTTATCCAGGTAGCTGTGAGGAAGAGTGAAGTATAAATTCAGTACTGTTGGGTATGTTAAAAGAGTTGATCAATTCAGGAGGTGGCTAGTACAGTGCCTGGCTTGCTGGAGTCATGTGCTTTTCGGAGGAGTCACTGGTGTCTTGGGAAATACTAGAGACATCCAGATGATGCCACTTACAGCTTCCCCCCCTCCCCGCTGTATTATCATCCTGCCTGCATGGAGGCCCAGATGGCAGTTCCTGCAGAGAGCATCTTCTCCCACTGCTATCTTGGGATCTATGACAGCCCTGGACTTGGAGGAACAGGAAAAATTAGTAATTTTGAGGGAATTATTTTGCAAGAGACTTGTTCTAGTGCCTTTCCCAGCTAGAAAACAGTGTCTACTTCCTGGGCAGTGGTAAAGGCAAAGCCTCCACCACTTATGTGGTGGCTGGAACTGGAGTGGGGACATTCTTGTCCTCTAAACCAGATAGCTTCCGCCCTGTAGGAGAAGCAAAACTCCAGCCTACAGATATACTGAGCTCCCCCAGCAGCCCTGCTGCCCCCTCCCCCAGTTTTGCCCCAGAAGAAGAACTGTCACCCTCTGGGTGTCTTTCTCTTATCCTAAAGCTGTCAGCAGAGCTGTATTGGCAGGGGGTGCTAAGCCCTGCTGAAGCATAACAAGTTGCTAGCCTGGCATCCCCCACAGAAATGTTTTGGCAGCAGAGCTTTGGCCAAAGACAAAAATGGTGTCCCAGTACCTGTAGTGAGAGAAACTGCCCTTTGGGGACTAGATGAATAGAAGATGAGATGCCCTTGGGATTCAGGCATACAGACTTGAGCAATGTATGGAAGGCTCAAGCAGGGATTTCTAGTCTGAAAAAAGGGTTGTGGATAGGGAGAGGAGGGGGAAACATATGGAAAAGGTTGTATATTGGCAAGTCTGAGAGCAAAATCACACACAGATTATAAGGAAAACTCAGGCCCTGGTGTTTTTGCAAGTGTAGAGAATTAACATCAGGGCCAAAGATGATTCATGTTTGATCTTTTTTACATGTGCTGTACACTTTGCATCTCACAGGGAATGTCAACCGTACCTGGAATCTGCAGCGGACGAAGAACCTTCAAGTGACGATTGTGCCCTCTATTAAAAGTCAGTGTCTTTGGACAGAGCAATACAACTTTACAGGGGGACTTGGCCCTTCTGCATAGAAGGGTACAGCTGGGCTGGCAACCCTCTGATGGGATGGTGCAGAAAGTGCCAGCAAATGAGTCAAAACCAATTGGAGCTCTGGTCCCTTCCAGGAGGTGCTGTGTGGTCCTGAGTGGTCTCACAGGCACAGCAATTGGCATTAGGGGTGAAGAAATGGTGGGATACCTTGCAGCGGGTTCTGGTGATTCCTCTTGAAGAAAGCAAATAGGTTTTGAAGGGCTGTTTGGGGCTGGGTGTTGTCACCAGGTGGTGTTGGGAAGAGTAGGACCGGAGCACTGGCCCTGAGAGGGGCTGTCCCTGCTCTGTGAGCTGATGGATGCTTTCTCTTTCCTCAGAGTCTGTTTATGTCCAGGCCATGTTCTTCAGCTTCCTGAGTTTCCTCTCCTTCTACCTGGGCTCAGTGGTGGTTGCTTTCGTGCACTATATCAGGTGAGTCCAGGGGTTTTACAAGAACAGCCTTTCTGTTTCTCCTCATCCTCAGAGATGCCTCACCTTGCACTGTATTTGGGGTGAGTGGGGTGGCAGGCATCTGAACAGAGCAGCCAAAGAAGTCCATGACTACTCCATGGACTCCTACTGACCATCATCCAGAAAACTTTTTTCTTCTGCTGAGGGGATCATGGCAATGACAAAAACCTAAGGCTCTGCCCTCTAGCTTTTGAATTGCTCTTACTCCTGAGTTTCCTTACATGAAGGTGGCTGGTGCAAATTGTGATGGGGCCAGTCTGGGATATGGGGTGCTAGAGCATTGGGGAGACAAGGTAATCCCCAGAGTGCTGGACCAAGTACTGCAAAAAGGGACAATGATCCAAATAGGACCTTGGAGTCCCAAGTGCTGTTTTCCTGCCTCCCCTGCCCCCAGCCGTGATACCTGGGCTCATGTTTAGGGGAATATGAACTTTGGCACAGCTATCATAGCAGGTGCTCTTGGGGAGGAAAAAAACCAACCAAACCAGAAAGCTTTCAGCAAATAGCAGGTTGGTTTTGTGGGAACCATGCTTGTCAGCTAGCTCCTCAGACTGAACGTGGCAAAAAGTTTTCATCTGCTTCAGAAGAGGGGATCTTAAAAGTTTGGTGCTCTGAAACAAAATAATTTCAAGATGGGGCATGCCTTAACTTCAAGACACATCAATGAAACAACAGTTCATTGGAAAAAAAAAAAACAATGAAATTATTTAAGTATGTGCTTATCTCTTTTTTGCTGTTATTTTTTCTTTGTTGTGGGCATATGTTTTTTTTCTTACCCTCCCCTACTTGGCAATCTACATTGAAGAGGGTGGTGCTGGCTTCTGAAGCATCATGCTCTTTTGCTTTGTAAATCAGAGAGGTGGACAGGAAGCAGTTGTGGCTGAGCTATGACTACTCCAAACAGTATTTTTCTCTTCTTGTTGTTTTTGTTTGTTTCTTTTGTGGTTTATTTTTGTTGGGTTGGTTTTTTAGAGCTTGCACTATATTTACATATTGGTGTCCTAGATGATCCTGCCGTGGCTGACAGGTGTTGGGGTTTGTTGGCTATCTCCTAAGTGCTGTCTGTTCCTTTTCAGGGTTCAGAGGAAGGCTTTGGCTGGGAGATTGAGTCCTGAGTATGGTAAGGTCTCTCTTCTGTGGTGTGCCAGCTTTAAGTGAACAGCACAGGTCCCAGATCAGGCAAGGGACAGGCTGTCAGTCAAATACCTTCTGTCCCTTCAAGCCTTCTTCCTTGTACATGTACAACATGGTCTCTGGTGCTGATGAAAGATGTTAGAGCTTCCTCTCTTCCCTCACAAGAGAGGGTGTTTGAAGCAGGCTCCCTTGAACCTGCCCCCTGCCCTGAGGAACTGGCTTTTAGAGGGGTGGAGGAAGGGCAAACCTTGACTAGACCTGGCTACAGGATAATGTTACTGCTGCCAGGTCTGTTCATTGTCAGCTCTTGTGCTTAAGATTTCGTCTGTTTGGTTTAAGCATGAAGTCTCTAACTTTTAAATTTAATTTAAATTTTAATTTGTTTTTAACTGGGAGTTGCAGACAACCAAGTGGATTAATGACTAATACAGTTAGGTAGTGGTGTTTGTGTTATTTACTTTGGTATTGGATTCAGTTTACTTTATGCTGCACCCACATTTCAACATACTACAGATTTCTGCATTATAAAAACATAACTGCATCTAAGAGGCTACCAGTGAAAGATGGAAATTTTTGGCATGTGGGTGGAGGGGCACTGGGAGTTTCTGCTTTCTGGAGAAGTATGAGAGGCTGGCTGTTTAATCTTGTTTAAATATTTAGTGCCTGCAAAGTAGTTCAAAGCATTGGTCTGAGGATAAAGGCATCATCATTTGTACCTCTCTTCTGGGGAAAGGGAGGATGTTATATTTTGGCAGCATTGAAAGGTTCTTGGTGTGTTCCCTTTTTTAATCCCCAGCTTCTTCAGTCTCTCTAATCTGCTACATACCACCAGATAAGCATACTAGTATAACTGAGCTGTGCTTAAAGGATCAGCACTGAAACTTCACTCTGACCTGGCATTACTTGGGTTAATATTTTTGCTGAAGACCTGGGGTTGTTTGGCTTCTCAGGAGTGGCTTCTTCAGCCACTGAGATCCACATAAGCATCCCTGTATGTGGAATGTATGTGAAAGGTTTTCTTCATAACCAAATGAGAGCAGGGGACTGTAAAAAATGTGCTTAAATGTGTTCTAAATTTAAGTCATTTGGGATGGATCCTGCTGTGAGACAACAGTAAGTCTTAGGGCACTGGAGAAATGGAAAGGGCCTGTGTGTCTGGGAGTTTGGGGCAGCTGAAGGGACCTGGCCAAGGCCCTGGAAGAGTTCCAGGCTGGTGACAAGGGGTCACTGTCTAAGGCAAGGAGGCACAGTCTCAGCTGGATGAGACCAGAAGCCCCAAGGAGTGCTGGTGGTGCTGCAGCTGAGGGTGCAAGTGCTGATGGCAGCTAAGAAGCTACTTTCCAAGCTGCCCTGGTGAGCGATGGAAGTTAAATTCTGGTGCTTGGGGAGTTCCCAAAGAAGCTGCAGGACACAGATGCTGTGCTTAGCGTGGACCTAGAGGGCAGAGGACTGGATTCCTGGGCAGGGAGGATTGCTGAACAGCATCCCTGTGAAAGGACAGAGGAGCACAGTTCCTTCACAGTTCACAGGTTTCCTCACAGAGGCACCTGCTTCACCTGTGGCCTTTCCTTGCCCTTCATGTCCTTGGCACTGCATGTCACAGTCATGTCCTTTCCTCTAGGGAAGAACCATGTCCTACCCACATGCCTTTTCTTTCTCTATTGTGTCTCTTCAGGTTCTGTGCCTGACTGCCTATAAAATGGTAACTAATGTCTTCCCTGTCCTCCAGATCACCCAGGGCATACTGGCTTCCTCTTTTTTTTCTTTCTTTTTTTTTTTTTTCCTCTCCTCTTCCCACCCACTGGAATTTCTCTTCCTCCAAAGCACCTCTGGGTCTCACCTTCTCCATCTCTTCCCTTTCCTTTCCCCTTCCCCACCAAGAAAGTGTGGATGGAGGTGCTGAGCAATCTGTCTCTGCCTGTCATCTTTGAATATACTGCAACTCCATGTGCCCCTTTTGCTCCTGTCACCCATCTTATGCCTGGCTTCTGTGGTTACATATTTTTTTTAAACTGTATGGGACACCTCCCATTCCACATCATCACTATCTGGTGGAGGCAGTAGCTGGAGGAACCACACCTAGTGCGGTACATTTACTTTGCTGACTCACTCGCACACTGGGAAGTGGGATTGAAATTAATGGGTGAGTTGTGTCTGAAGTGGCTATTAGAGACAGGGCAGAGTGCCTCTCCTCCCTGGTGTCCCTGCTTTGTCCAGATTTAAATCTTTCCTTGGTTACTTAGGAGAGAAGATTGACAGGTCACTTGAGAGCATAAAGTTTGGTCTAAAATAAGGAGGGAGCATCCCCGTAGGACAGGACCAACAGGAGTAGGAAGCATGTGTGCCTTGCTGTCATGAGTGTGGGGAAACGCTTCATTCACCCTCTTTCTGGTAATCAGGATTTTCAAATGACTTTAAATCATCAGGAAAAGATGCCATGAGAGAGGGAGGCTTGTGCAGTGAGTGATGAGTAGAGGGTGGATCTTGCTCCTGCAGCAACCTACAACCACAGCCTGCTAATCCCAGCTCAGGGCTGAAGGAGTGTCACGTAGGGTGCTGTGGTGTGCTAAAGCCTCCCCTTTGGTGCTCAGTCCATGTCATGGTGTCCACTTCTGATACTCCTCCGAGCTGTTTGTTGCCCTGTTAGAGGGATTGTATGGAAACTAAAATGGAGACCAAGTCTTAGTGCACAGTCCAACAAGCACAGGGAACGTGTCAAAGGAAAGCAGTAATTTGGACTTGAAACGTTAAATGTCATTGCTGTATGGATGCTCCGCTGCCTAGGAATTGGGCTCAGGCAGTGAAAAGTCCTGGAGCTCTTTACATATGTGGCTAATAGAAATGGTATATAAACCTATACAAGGTGTCACAGAAGTGCCTGGAATTGCCAGCTGGAAAGAGGAGTCGGTGCCTGTCAGTTTGGGACAGATCAAGTACTGGAAAGCCAGAGATTCAGCTTGGGAAGCCAGGCTGTTGCCAGGCTGCAGTAAGGTTGCTTGGCCTTAAATATTGTCCCATGTCCTGTGTCCCTTTGCTGCTGACTGGCCACACAATGTTGTTGCAAAGGTGAAGCTTTACAAGCAGCTGGACCTGTCTTGCTGTTGTGGTCCTGCTCCTGCTTCCCTTCCTTTTGAGGAGATGGGTGCTTGACCCCTCAGTGAGGGGATTCACCTGGCTGTGTTTCCTGACACGTTTGTCTGCTGCCAGTTCAGCAGCTGAGCCCCACCACGGAGGCAAAAAGAGGGAATGTGGAGGCAGGAGGGAAAAGTCCTGGTGCAACCTGAGTGGGAGGTGCAGCCCTCCTTGCTTCAGGTGTGTGGATGGGAGGCAAGGACTTCCCAGCCCTTAAAGACTTGCCCCTCCTGTCATCAGCACAAGATCATGACCACTTTTTTGCATGGAGCATTTTTTGCTTTCTCCTTGCTTGGTTAAAACTGTGTAGCAGCTGTCTTGCCAAAGGCTGTTTGAGACTCTTCAAGGGGTAACTGGAGGTAGCAATATTTGAATAGATCGATGCATGAGGAGGAGGAGAAGAATTAGAAATTCAGAAGGGTACTATGAATATTGTCAGATTTACTGTAGAATCTGGTAAGTCTTGCAGCCCCACAATGTGATCCTACAGTGTGCTGGAGGGAGGCTCATGCTTTTGTGAGTCAAACTGGCAGCCTGTGTGGGGAAGCTGAAGGGAATGGGTTTGCTTCACATTGCAAAGCAAGGGTTTCCCTTTTGCACAGTATGCTCTAGAGAGAGACTGCCATCTGTTTGGAGAAATGCTGCTTTTCCCAAGGCCCTCGAGCTCTTCAAGCTGTTTGTATTCACCTCGGACATGTGCTTCAAAGCACTGACATGAAACTAACTGTCCTTTTGGGTCTGTTTCCATTGCAGGATCTGGGATTATGACATCTTCACACCCCATCACAACCAGCACCCCTGAGGGAAGCAGCTATGGTGCTATTGGTACAGTATCTTCCAGAACTGACGGCATGGGGAGGGTTCTGCTTGGGACAGGGGAAGGCACTTTAAGGTGCTTTAAAGCCAGAAGGGAATAAAGCTGCAAACTACTTTAGCAGCAGCTTGCAACTACTTGGAGGAAAAAAAAAAAAAGGATTCTGCAAAAAAGTTCTCACTTGAGAGGTTCAGGTTGCACTTTCAGGAAAAAAAAATCTACACCAAAAAGGTGGGAAATCTCTGGAAGAGGTGCCCAGAGAGTCTCTGTCATTGGAAATAGTCAAGTCTTAGAGGAAGCCACGGTCATCTGTTAGGTGTTGATGACAGTGCTGCTTCAGGCAGGAGGTTGACTAGGGACTGACAAAGGTCCCTTCCATCTAAGCTTCTCGGAGTCTATTACTGAGCTCATCAGACCTCCTTTAGACCAAAGCATGCCTTTCACTGGAGGGCTGAAGGATTCTGTGCCACAAGGCAAGACAGAGTCAGCGCTTCTTGCAGTCTAGAACTTTCATTAAGGGAGGAAAAAATGTCGTGCTGGCAGCAGAGGAGAAAAAGAACACCCAATGGTCCTGCGAATCTGAGATGATGGGAGATGCTTTCCTTTACATTTCTTAGTCTTTAGAGTATTTCTTAGTCTCCTTACAACACTTTTCCCTCCTGTGGATGAACTGGTATTGAACAACTTAGTTCTGTGGACTTCTGGGGCATAATCCTTGAATTTGACAGCTTGGGGACCCAGGTGCAGGGTGATGTGGTGCAAGTCCAGTGCAGTGTGGGGCAGCTGCTCAAATGAGAGAGGAGAGCAGCTTTGTAATTTTTTGGTCTCTTCTCAGGATGTATTTGCTCACTGTAGTGTAAAGACAGCCCTGACGCTCCAGGTATCACACAGTTGTTGGACTATGAAGGTGTGATATCTCTGAACACCTGATGAAGAAACACAGAACCGGTATTTCATGAGGTTTGGAAAAAAATCAGGAGGAATTAAGGAATTAAGAGTTGAGGGCTTCAGCACCAGTACACCCTTCCTCCCACAATTCTTAAGGAAATTAAAAGCATTTGGAAAATGAGGAAGAAACTTGTGTTCTGCCCATGCCAGTATGGCCAATGGGCTGTCTGGGAGCTTGGCCAGCTGGTAGGAAGTGCAGGCAGGTCCTGCTGACCCACAGGTGACAGATACTGTCCGTGCAATGGAAGCAAAGTCGGTGCTCTGCCTGCTTTGAAAAATTCACTTTCTTCCTCTTTGTCTTTTGTTCTACAGTATTTTTGGAAAAGCATATATAAAATCTGGAAATTTGATAGGTCAGCCTGTTTCTGACTCCTGAACAGTCTGCTGCTTTCACTAGAGCTTTTCTGGCTTCAGACTTCCAGATTTCAGAGCCCAGGCTAGTAAAGTGTAGAAGATGTTAGAGATGAAAAGTAATAGAATAAAAGTAGGGAAAAAAAAATCAAAATGCTGCAGAGCAGGGAAGATGGTCCTTGAAAGTGCTCTTAGCTGATATCTGAGCCTTTTAGGAAGGTTTGTGATCATGGAAAAACTTGTTCCCTGAAATGGCCATGTCAACTTATCCCAGCAGATTGCTGCTGATACCTTTCTTGTTGCTGGGCACAGAGGGATTTAGCCTTTACCTTGCCTGTTTCCTTCTCCCACTCTGCTCCAGATGAATCAAGCTCCAGCGGTGGACGGCCGTTGTCTTCCCCTGAGCGTGGGCTGCCACCTGGTTCTGACACAGACAGCTCTGTGGAGGAGGAGAGCGACTTTGACACCATGCCAGAAATTGAAAGTGATAAGAATGTCATCCGTACTAAGGTATGGCTGGCGTTGCAGCTTTAGCCGTGATGCTGGGCTGTGGACACATCTAAGCCAGGACCAGCACAGATCACTTGCCAGAATTTCTAAGTTTCTGCTTCCTTTTTAGGTAGATTTAATCTAATAAAGCTGAATGTGCTTCTTCATGCTTTTTCAGAGTCTAGGAAGTTTTCCTGCTATGCTAAGTGAGCTGCTGAAATTAGGGATTTAATATGGAAAATCAGAATGTACTGGGGACTTTTGAGAAAGGACAGAGAAGCTCAGGATGTCCCAGAAAGTCCAAGGAGGTGGGACAGCATAGGGAGAAGATAATGTGCAATAGCAGGTAGTTATCTGGTACGAGTAGTGTGACTGCAGTGGATGTACAGAAGGGCTTTGGGGTATCAGCTCTCAAACTGTCTCCTTTTGTCACCCCACGCTGCTCCGTGTGCTCGGAGCCATTCCTGGAGGTCAGAGAGATTTGCAGAACTCATTCCTCAGAGAATCAAGGGACACAACAGGCTTGCTGTGTAAAAAATGGTCCAAACAGCACCAAGCTGCATATTGTCCAAATATGTCAAGATCTACTGACTTCTGTAGTCTTCATTAGTTCTTTTGTCTTTTCTTCTCTCTTTCCCCACCAACTAATGTTTTAGGTGTTCCTCTATCTATCAGACTTGTCCAGGAAGGATCGAAGGATTGTCAGCAAAAAATACAAAATCTATTTCTGGTAAGGAGAAGACAAACTGGTAAGGCCCAAGCTCTGGACCCAGTCTCTGGTTGTGGAGTCTGTCCACATGCCCTACTTCTGAACCACACTTTAGACCTGAAGATATTCTTTGAGCCCTCCTGTTACACATTCTGACCCCGTTCCAACCAGTAACTGCAGATCCCACATATCTCAAATAAGGATATTTGTGGACCAGTGCACACACGATCTTGGCAATGGATCCTGGTTTGCATAATCGCTTTATAGTGTGGTTACAACTGGTGTGCTGAAACATACTGGGGAAGGGGAGAAATTGGCACTCAAACACACGAGCTTGTAGTCCACATTCTGGCTTTTCTTGTGCCCTTAGTGTTTGTCTCCTGTTTGCATTAGCACATTTACTCTTCTGCTTCAGGAGATCATAACCAGCACTGTGGGGCTCTGTCCTGGGTGTGCACCGATTGTTTTGGTCTGTGTAACTGCTGCTATGGTCTCCTCTCTGCAGGAACATCATCACCATTGCAGTGTTTTATGCCCTGCCGGTCATCCAGCTCGTCATCACTTACCAGACGGTGCGTTGGGGTCTGTGTGGCTGTCCCCCATGCTTGGGTACTCTTGCCTTTAAATTTGCTCTGGGGTTGAATGGTGTAAGGATGAGTCGTAGTGGAACTGGGATCACCTAGGAATCCTGCTCTGTCTGAGGGGCAGTTTACCTTAGCTGCTCTCTCTGCACCTTGTGTTGAGTGTTGCTACTGGCTTGGCTTGCTGAGCTTGCAGTTGTGCTATTTTTGCTTGGGAAGTGGGAGCGCAGCTGTTTTCCTGCTCATCTGATGTCTCATTTGGGCCCTGTTTCATTTTAGTGGCAGGAGAAATCTGCTGTTATCTCTAAAAGACAACTGAAAGCAAGTAGGGTTTGCTGTGATATGAGTGATTTCTCCTCCCTTCTCCCTGCCCTTGCTATCTAGCTGTGCTTCAGATATCTGCAAGTAGATCTATTAGTGGTGGGGTCGAGAGTACACAATATGTTTCCTCTGAAGACTGTTGTCAGGTTTGTGGCCTGTGCAACATCTTGTCCTCCTCCTAAAGCGAAGCTTTTCTTCACTTGCAGATGTCAGTACTCCCCTGTGCCAGTGCTAGAGATAGACTGTGTCTTGGTACACCTCGTGTACATGCAGTGTTTGCACGAAGCAAACTGCCAGAACAAGGAGGATTTGCTAATATTTGGTCTCTCATCTCCTCTCTGTCCAGGTAGTGAATGTGACAGGTAATCAGGACATCTGCTACTACAACTTTCTGTGTGCCCATCCCCTTGGGGTGCTGAGGTGAGTGAGCCCTGTGGTTGCTGTGTGACTGTGGTCTTGTGCCTCCTGAGTGTTTGTGCTGTGCCCAGATGAGGATTTTGCCCTTGCCAGGCTCACAGTAACTCTGTTGATAAGATCACTGAGAGTTTAGGACTTTGAGCAGCAGTTTTGCTCAGCAGTAGCTTTCTGTTGCACATGCACCCAGGAATACCTGGGGTCCCCTGGCAAACCCTGGCAGGGCAGTGATGTGCTCCCATGCTCTTTTGGAGACTTTCACTTGTATCCAAGGAGCAGCAGCTCTGCAAAGAAGTTCAGATCAGTCCTTTCAGTGCAGCATTTCTCTGAACTAATTGTGGGCAGTGCAAAGAAAGCCCAGAGTTGGGAATCTTGCAGAGAAAGTGTTAAATCCACTGGGGAAGGTGAACTACTCAACCTAAAATTGTCATCCAGGATGTAAAACTGGCAGGTGTTTGGCAGCTGCCAAGGTGGAGGATGGTGGTGGGGGAGAAAAATGGATTCAGCTTATCATAGCTCAGTGTTCAGCTTCCTGCTCCTGTGCTACCTTTGTCTTAAACCTTCTTTTTCCCTGCAGTGCCTTCAACAACATCCTCAGCAATGTGGGCCACATGCTGCTGGGCTTTCTTTTCCTCCTTATTGTGTTGCGCAGGGACATTCTCCACCGTCGGGCCATGGAAATGAAAGATGTCTACACCCTGGTAGGAAGCATGGTTGCATGGGGCTGAGTAGAGGGAGGAAGGACAGGGAGAACTTGAAAACTAGAGTGATGCACAGTGGGTTTCCATTTGCCCTTCCTTGCTGGAGGATTGAATCCTCCTCTTTTTCCTCCCCTGAAAAACAGTCTAGATGGGACACTTATGTTCTTGCACACCCCAGTCCTTTGCTGCTTACAGTATGCCCATACTGTCGTGGTGATCCAGCCTAGGCTTGAGAAGACAAGGAGATGAGTAGAGGAACAATTCCCATGGCTGTAGCTTTTCCTCCAGCATTCACTGTGGAGGAACTGGGACAGTAAGAGTGTCCCGAGATGCTTTTGTTTATAGTGAGGTTTGATTTGTCTTACACAGTCAAGAGGTTCTTTCTTGGCACTGTTGTTAGCAAGAGCTCCCTATGATAACCCTGAGGAATGTGGCTGCCTCTGGCTCTGAAGCAGAGCTGCTCTTAGTCAGAGCCTCTGCAGTCCCTTCAGTATCTTCTGGGAGAGGATGGAGAAATCTGCAGCTCTGTGGGCAGTGGTGCTGGTGGTTTCAGGAGACAAACAGCTCTGTCTTCACTGGCTTGGTAGCAAGTGAAGGCCTTAGCAGTTTCAAGGGTCTGCTGTTTATGGTTTTCAGATGAGATCTTGGCCAGATCCTGATGGAGATGCCTTCTCACCTGGGCTGATGGGCTCTGCTCCTCAGGTGCTTTTAACCCACTACTGACCACAGAAACAAGGCTGCTATTCTGGGTCCCCAGTGCTCTCTCAGTTTTGGGCAGGATGTAGCATGGCACAAAGTACAGGACAGAGACTTTTGCTCTCAAGGTGTCAGTACTAAGACACTGAGGTCTTCAGACCAGAAGTTTTTGTGTGATTAGCTTGGGTTTGCTGCCTGTGGACTCAGCTGGCTATGCAGTGTGGCTAAATGCAGAGATTACAGTTGCACAGAGCACACTGTGCTACACTGGTGACTGAAGGACATGTGTGGAGGTTAGGAGGGATGAAGCGATGGAGAGTGGAAGCTTGTTTGCCATCAGGACAGTGAGGGTACTTACCATACAGCTCTGGTCTCTCCTAGGACTATGGCATCCCGAAGCATTTTGGTCTCTTTTACGCAATGGGCATCGCCCTGATGATGGAAGGGGTGCTCAGTGCCTGTTACCACGTCTGCCCTAATTACTCCAATTTCCAGTTTGGTAAGCTGAGTTTCCTTTCTCTTTTTGAGCTGGAGGTAGCATTTGCCATGCTGTGTTGCTGGCGTTTCCCACCCCTCTACCCTTGCAAGCCTCCCTGGAGTCTGCCTGTTTCAGGGCTCAGTCAGGAGGTAATGAGGCTTTAGATGCTGGGGACTAACACATTTCAGCCTCCTCTCCAGACCCTGGGACTCTGGTAGTGCACTGCAGGCAAGATCTCCCTTTGCTTTTGCAGCTCAGTGTTTGAAGATAGTAAGTGCACAGCCTGAGTGGCAGAATGTTCAAGCCTAGGAAGCCTCTGTCTGCCATCACAGTGGAAACTTTCCTCTGTGGGCTCCTTCACCTTCCTGGGGAAGAGAAGACTCAGGCAGGATCTTGTCTATGTGTGTAAATACCCAGTGAGAGGGAATGATGATGAGTGAGCCAGGCTCTTCTCAGTGGTGCTCAGTGACAGAATAAGAGGCAATGGGCACAAATTAAAACTCAAGAAACTCCATCTGAACACAGGAAAATACTTAAAAAAACCCAAACCAACCCAAAACCAACCCCAAAAAACTGAGTGTGGTCAAAGACTGAACAGGTTGCCCAGAGAGGTTGTGAAGTCTCCTGCTGTGGAGATATTCAGAGCCTGACTGGACACAGTCCTGGACAGCCCTCTCCTAGTGTTGGACCAGACAACCTCCAGACATCCCTTCTAAACTCAACCATTCTGTGATTTTTTTGCCTGTTTCTGTGCTGCACTGTATTGGGCACTTATTTTCTAAGCCCATTTGGCTTTTGTTGCCCCAGAGCATGGTAGATGTGCTGCAAGATGGCAGAGCACAAAGTGCTCTACGAAGCAGTGCAGCACCAGAGATTTGTGCCTGCCAGCCTTGGTTTGGCTCTGCTGCTGCACTTCTTTATGTGCAGTTTCCTCAGCCTGCTGGCAGTACCTATTTTCACTGTTTCTGTTGTGCTCCCTCCATAGACACCTCCTTCATGTACATGATTGCGGGACTGTGCATGCTCAAGCTCTACCAGACCCGCCACCCTGACATCAATGCCAGCGCCTACTCTGCCTATGCCTCGTTTGCTGTAGTCATCTGTCTGGCCGTCCTTGGAGTGGTATGGCTGCCTCTTACCTACCTGCTTCTCTGGGAAGGAGATGGTGGGGCTGGGAACATAGCTGATGTGGGCAAATGACTGGGGAGAGCTGCAGAGCAGGATAAGAGTGTGTTAAGCGGTTGCTAGCTAGCTGTTTGAATTCCCAGTGCTCTTGGCTTTTCCTTCTCCCTTCCCCTGGGCTTACAGGGAGGAAAAGAGCAGAGCAGTTTTCTCTAGGTGGGCTTCTTTTAGGGTGTTGCACACCACATGCCCTCAAGAGGAGAAACTCGTGCATCCAGGTGTTGGTGACCAAGCATGCAGCTGGTGTCCTGTGGGGTAACTCGCCATGGAGGAAAAGGCTGAGGCTGGCTGAGCTTCCAGGACAAGTGTCCTCTACCTAATTGCTTATTCCTCTTTCTCTGCTTTGGAAAACTCTGTGTTGCTGGGTCCAGCTCCTTGCTATCTTTAGGGAGGTGCAGGGCTAGAATAAAGGCTGGGTGGCTCCCAGACAAGTTTCTGGAGTACCTGCCTATAGAAAGGTGCTGGAGCAGAAGGAATCACAAGAGGGTTGCTCTTGTGCAGCAGTAGTCGCTGACAGGTCAGGCTGGTGCAGGGCTTTGCCTCTTTGCTCATAGCATTGCAGGTATTGAGCTGGGCTTGCCTTGAATCCCCAAGCTGTGCTTTACCTTGGAGATCTCTGCTTCTCTTCAATAACAACTGATTCTGTAAAGGTCTATGGGTAGGAGATATGTCAGATAAGGCATGCAGGAGCAGCTGGTGAGCTTGGGACTTCCCAAGAACCTTTAGATAACTGTGGTAGATCTACACACTCAGGTTCAAAACACTGGGGTTTTATTATAAGATGCTGTATGTTTTTCTTGTGGGATGTTTTGAAGCTGTGGAGTAGAGCTTATAATCTGCACGTTTCCCTTGCTCCTTTCATGCAGAGGTGGCTTTTTTGCTTGCTATTTTTTCCCCCCACACAAAAGGAAATGTTGAGGCATGTGCTGTGCCCCAGGAGAGGGGAGTGTGTGGTCACAGCCTGATGGCAGACCAGAGTTTCTGGACTCTTTAACATATAACTGAAAAATTAAAATTTTAACATAGCATTAACCTGCCTTTGTAGGTCACTTCCAGTCCTTAAAGTGAAAGTGTAAAATAAGTGCAATTGCCTGCAGAGCAGCTTTGTTCTCTTTGGCCTGCTATGATGCACTTGTTAAATTAATGGTTGGTTCCCTGATGGTCTTTGTAAAAATCGAGCTCAGGGCTGGAGAGCTGCAGACCACCTCAGCAGGGAGAGCTTGCCTAGCCTGGGAATCCCTGCATTTCTTCTCCCTGGGCCACCGCAGTGCTCCCAAGCTGTCATCTGTGTCTGAAGGGGAATTCAGGAAGAATGGTCTCCTCTCCAGAAGTGCTGAGCTACTCTTGCATCTCTGAACTTTGTTTGGATTTATAGGACTGGTTTTGGGTTGGAAGATTTGGGGGTTTCCTCTTCCACGTTCAGTGAGGTTGTGTAATGCCCCATGGTGACATAGGAGAGAAACGCATCAGCCAGCTGATAACAAGATTCAGTTTGCTTTTAATATGTCTGCTTTCAGGTTTTTGGGAAAAATGACGTGTGGTTTTGGGTTCTTTTCTCAATGATCCATGTTTTGGCCTCACTGGCTCTCAGCACCCAGATCTACTACATGGGCCGCTTCAAGATGGGTAAGTGCTGTGACTGAACCACCTTGTTCTAGGGTGTGCAGGTGCCTCCTGCCCTCACCTGCGTGAGTTGCCTTTGCCACACATCTGTGAGCACAGTCCTGTGTTTGTGTTCTGGGTTATCCTTTCCTCTCATCCATCTGAT